GGGTGTGTGTGTGTGTGTGTGTGTGTGTGTGTGTTTACTTTGGTGTAGTAAAATTCCTCATTTATCTGATAGTGTGAACACAGCCATTGCAGCCCGAATGGTATGAATGTTGCGTTTTAATCATGTACTGTCTTATATGTAAAAGTCTGTCCCCCCCTTCCTTTTGATTGTGAGCCGCCCTGAGTCTCCCCAGGGAAAAGGGCGGCATACAAATAAATAAATAAACTATAAACTATAAACTAAAGCACCAGGCTATAAACTAGGAGACTATGAATTCTAGTCCCGCCTTAGGCATGAAAGATGGCTGGCGACTTTGAGCCAGTCACTCACTCAGTCCAGAAAGTCAGTCTTGGGTGACAAGCTGGTTAATCAATTTCTGTCATTACCAATGGATCAACACTTGGTTGATCTGAAAAAAGCAGAAACTGCACTTGCTTGAAAACATTAGGAAGAAAAAAAATGTGTGAAGAACAAATATGGCTTTTATATAACTTGTAAACTCATGCTTGTATATAAGAATTGGGGCTCGGGAGAGACAGTGTGACTCACTTTGAGAGCAAATTGTAATGTCCCGGAAAAATCATGATCCCTACTGAGTTAGTCCATCCTAATTTTCAGAAAAATGAATTGATCTTCCCATTATCTAACACAGGAAAAACAAGATAACAGCACTTGTAACCATTTTTTTGGCTTTTATCAAAAAGCAGGAAAGTTAAAATATTATGACACCAAATTATGTAGAGATCAAAAGAACAGCAAAGCAATGCCAGGAAAGTATACAGCTACTTTAGGAATTGAATGGTACATCTCAATGTCCTCCTAACTTTTGGCTTGAGGATGCTTGATTAATCATCCTTGAAGGGCACCTCTGCATGATGTAGTTCTCTTCTCATTTCCACTCTAAAGGCCAATTACATCAGAACTACACGTGAAGTGATTTTTTTTTGTTTTCCCCAAACACAAGCCTTGATATTTGTATGATGAACTAATTATGTGATCAGAAGAGGGATCTGCCCAGCTCTTATTTTAGCTGATGTAGGCATGCCTGCACTTCCCAATTGCCTGCAATAGATAATTGCTGACAATCAGATCATACAATGGGAAAAGTATGACCTTTGGAAGTCATTTTCATTCTATTTTCCTAGCTCCCATGTGTAATGTTGGGGCTTTGCCCACAATAGTTGTATTGTCTAAAACAAGTAAGTTTTTGTATTTCATCAAGCAGTGTCCATGCAACCTGCTGATATACTGTCCAAGGTATTCTACAGATTTCCAGAGTGTCAGGAGGTCGTGCAGGGTGTATGTGCTGCTTGAAATTGACAATCCTCTTGCTTCAGTCAATGCCAGTTACCCTGTCCAATATACCATATGAGGATTTGGAGAAGAGAATATTGCATGGTCCTATAGGATTATCTAAAGTATATATGTATCCTATGTCTCCTGAGGAAACTGACATGTTCTTCCCGACTGCGAGCTCAGTCACCTGTTTGTTAAATGTGGGTCCTTTCTGCTTTGTCAAGACTTCCCAGGAGGAATCCTGTCATTGGATCTATGAAGTGATACCTGCTTAGTGGAGGGAGGTGGTTGATCTTACAGCCTTGAAGCAAACTGTGGTACACCCTCTCAAGAGGCCATCACTGAATTTGGCGACCCTGAAAAATTTCCAGTCTTTCCCTTGTTGGGAAATTTTTAGTGAAAGTAGTTGGGTTTTCGCTCCGGAGGATCCTAAACAGATTATTTAGACTCATTTCAGTTTCAAAGTGGATTGCAGTATGGAGACAGCATTGGCTCTCCTTATTGATTTACTGTGGCAAAACAGGGAAATGACAGTTCAGCTTTCCTTATGCTGCTAGATCTTTCAGCTGCTTGATTATGGTATCCTTCTAGATTCCACTGCAAGGTTTGGGACCAGGGACAATGTTTTGCAGTGGTCCTCCTCCTTTCTTTGTGGCTTGTTTCAATCAGTGTTAACAGGCTTGGGAAATTGAGCCAACAACCCCCTCATTTGTGGATTGCTGCAGTGCTTGACACTCAATCCTTTTCTGTTAAAATTCTACCTGAAACTACTGGGTGAGGTCATCCATTGGTTTTGGATGAAGTATTGTCAGTATGACACCCACTTACACATCCCAAGTGATGTTGTTAAAGTTCTATCCCACTGTCTGGAGCAGGTCTGGACCATTGGTTGGATGTTTATAGTTGACTTGCTGATGAAATTCAAAGTCTTGGTGATCACCTATTATAAGGCATAGGATCTTATTATTGAGGGATCCTCTACCTCCAATTGTTTCTGCCTGGCTGGTGCAATTAGTCAGAGAAAGCCTACTCCATGTCCAGTAATCTCTGCCATGGTCCTTCCTTCTGGAATATTTCTGAGATCCAAACAGTGTCACCTTGATGGTGTTCGGGAAGCTATTAAAAGCCCAGATAGTCTTCCTGGCTATGGGCAACAAATAGTTGGCCTCTTATTAGATGGATTTGCTTTGGTTTCATATTATTTCTGGGGTTGTCCATAATTTTTTTCTTGTTTTGTACTTTCTTTTTAAAAGTTGGGTAGCCAATAATCCTCTCCCTCTCTCTCGTCTCTCTCGTCTCTCTGTCTACTCTATGAAATCACATACATGGAATGGGTTTACTCACTATCTTTTCACCTCATGAATCAGGTACTGCAAGTGGTCATGGGAGTAGGTAGGGTCTTTCCAGGAAAGCAGGAGAAGAATTGCAACTCAATTCAGGTTCCGACAAATGGCTAAACCCACCATTCTAGCCATGTGTGAACTTGTCTTTTTCTCCAACCCAAGTTTATCTTTACATTAGAGGTGATTGATGGATGTTTTTCACTATTAGAACAATGCTATTCACTGGCCTCATGAACAAAGCAGAGTTAAAAATGGCTATGAGATGGATCAAATTTATGCTGAAATGCATTGTGCTGCATCATGGACTAGGCACATTAAACTACCTCTTTGGATGTTCCCAAAATAACTCCGATGTCTGTGTCTCCTTATACTCTGAAGCATCTTTTTGAAACCAAATCAAAAAATGCTCTACTGTACAGCCCTAGAAATCAATACAGAGAGGTTTTGATTACACTATTTTAATAATTCAGTTTATTAAAATATCAATAACAGTATGACTTTTGTGATATGTGATAAAAAGTGCCAAAAGTATATTTTTATTATTGGGGTCAATATCCATGGCAAATTTCAGACAGAAAAGAAATTATTTTGAATGGAAAAAGATGTTAATAAGGTAAAAGTAATGTCCCTTCTTGAATACGGCAAAAACTCACTGCTAAGACTGAAGATGAAAAGCATAAGGGATTAACCTAATGGTCTTTTCACAACAGAAAACAATCACTGAATCAGCCAGCGAAGATAATTCACTAAGTATTGTTATACATGAGATAAAGATGAGAGGTACTGGAAAATTATTAAGGAAACAAGTCAGTAGTGAAGCACGAGAATTCATTACATCCAAAATATTACTTTTAGTCTGAGTGAGTGTTTGTATATGTGTGCACATGGACATGCATGGGTCATTCATTGATCCACACAAATTAGTGAGTACAATTGATTAAAAAAGTACAATCCAATGCATTTTTAATCTGTTCAGTAACACATAACATCAAGTTCTGAAATCACCGGATAGGTTTTTTTTACGGCTTATTTCGGGAACATGCAAGGCAACTCATTTTCTTAACAGACTGAATGAGAACACCTGCTATACCCTGAATTATTTTTTACTTTACTTCAAGAAATTATAACTAACAACTGTTTCCCAATTAAAATATTAATATTGTAGACTTGCTGATGACTTCCTGTGAGGTTTTTTTTTTTTGAGAAGCAAGAACTGTGTTATTAAATAATAGCAGAAATAATTATTTGCCAAGGTGCTCCCATATACCATTCCACCATCTTGAGCATCAATTTATCACTTTGTCACCTGCTGCTTTAAAAACAATCAATGCTATCATAATAGGGTATTTATATTGCCTGAACTTTCTCTTCCTTCATGCTTTGAGTTCACATAGAATAGAATAGAATTCTTTATTGGAAAAGGCCAAGAAAAATAAAATAGAATACAATCATCAAGAATCATAAGATACAACACTTAGTGATAGTGATGTTACTAATAAGCAGTCAATTTTGTTTTCCTTCTGTAACTAAAAATTAGGTGTAGGGCAGAACCTTTTCCAAATAACAATTGCATTAACTCTCCCTCTCTGATTCATTCCAATTTAAATGCTACATGGCTTTACTCATTCTTATATATCTGATAAAGCGAGCTGTAGTTCAGGAAAGCTTTTTATAAAATTTGTGCTCAGAAAAATTATACCAGATTCTTTCTGATTTTTTACTCTCCTGGAATAACACAGCTTTTCTCCTACTGTGCTTTGTTAGCTACTAAATCTAAGTATTCCAGCTGGAAAATAAAGATTTGTATGGTTTTATTATATATCATTTTACTTACCAATTCTACAATCCCCTGTAAGATCAGAGATACACTCTTTTGAAAGGTCGTAGATAACAGATATTTAATAACCAGGAAGGAGTCCCTTTTGGCCAGTGTTTTTTTTAAACCTAAGATCACAACCTTGTGTTAGTAAATATATTCTACTTTATCAGGACTTCCAAAGAGCAAACCCTTCGTTATTTTCCCCTTAAAAAATTAGAAGTTTCATTGAACTCAAGGAACTTTCGGCTGAATATTCATTCCACAACTTATCTCCAAGACTATATTTTATTGCGTTCCTATATTGAGCCATTCTGGTAGGAAAAGGCACGTTTCTAACAGAAAATCCCCATTCATATTCAAAGCAGGCTGACAATACAAGAGAGCACTTTTGCCCTCTAGAAAAATGTCTACTCCGAGGACAAATGCCCGGTTACCAATCAGGTGACTTGAAGCAAGTTCTGTCACTTTCCTAGGAGAGCATATTCTGTTGCCTACGTGACCTGCCATAAGATTCAGGAAGGCATGCTTAGGAGTAGTTTCCATAGCAACTACGACGTCTTCTCACCGACTCTCCCCCTCCGGGTGGAATAGAACTCACAACAACTTTACGGAACATCCTAAGCAGCAAAAGACCTTACCGGACAGGTGGGAGATGAAACGCGCCTTTGCTCCAAGATGGCAGAGCCAGAGCCAGAGCCAGAGCCGCAGCCAGAGCCGGTGCCGGTGCCGGGGTCGGGGTCGGTGGAAAAACAGGTGAGGAGGCGCCGCGATGAGTCAAACGGTGGGAGAGAGGGGAGAGAGTCTCGTGGAACAGCCTCTAAGGCAGGAGTCTTCAAACTTGGCAGCTTTAAGACTTGTGGACCAGCCAAGCTGGGGAATTCTGGGAGTTGAAGTCCACAAGTCTTAAAGATGCCAAGTTTGAAGACTCCTGCTCTAAGGATACCTATTCTTCTTCAGCCTAAGAACCTTCTCCATCTTTATGTATGTAAAAATAACCTCCAAAGGTTATTTGTGACCTCCAAAGCCACCCAATGTCCAAAAAAGAGTTGCCCTGTTTGGGAATCCCTCAACACAGCAGTCTTCGCTGTGTCTCGGGAGCCTTAAGATGAGTTGGACTTCAACTCCCAGATTGCCCCCACATAGCATGCTGGCTGGAGGAATTCTGGAAGTTGAAGTCTACTGTGTAAAGCTCTCCAGATTGAGAAACATTGGTTTGAATTGACACTCTCCAGAAATTTTCACACCTAGTAGTCTCAGACAAGAAGCGCCTAGGGTGGCTGTGCTGTAATTTAAAGGGCATCTGATGTAAGAGAAGTTGGTATGGACTAGAAACTTTATTAGAGTGGAAGCATAAATTTGTTACCCAGGAGCAAGAGGCACTGCAGGATTGCAATGTAAAAAAAAAAAAGCAAGGCTGCAATGAAATTGAAGGGAACACTTTAAATATTTGTTGCAGCTTTTCCCAAACAAAGTTTGGGAGTTCAATCTCTTACAATTCCTGGGCACTGCCTGGGAAGATTTGATTAAGAGACAATTAATCTTATGATTTATCATATCATACTTGTATTCAGTGCTAGAAGAGCTGTAATTCAAACACAACAATGTTTACACCTTCATTGCATTTATAATTATTCTTTCCTTGTCAAGCTGTACCTGTTGCCATCCCCCCAAACTGGATCCAATTTATGTTTACTTTGAAGTGGATTCTTCACTAGTAGTATAGCCTTTATTGTCATTGTACATCATGCATACAATGCAATTGGTTGTATACATATTGTTTACTTTCATAAATTGAAAGTAAACATATAGGGCACGTAAGATTGCAGTTCTAAATCCTAGAGATCCAGGGTGACGTGGTATGTAACCTAACCAAATTAGTACAAGTAAATAAAATAAAATCCCCTTGAACAACATCAAATTGTTACAAAATGTTCACATTTATTTATTAGCAACACTACAGAACAGGTTTGCCTTGGATTTCCCAGACCACCTACAGATCTGGTATTACCTGGTGATCTTCTACTTAAGTACTAACCAGGCTCAGTCCTGTATAGCTTATCCAGACAGATGAGGGCTGCTGGGATGTTTTGGGGTATTGTACATTTATAATAATAAATACACAAAATGAACTGTTGAAATATAATAACATTCTGAGAAGTTTGGTGAACTGGTTGTAGGAAGAAATCATTAGGGCAGAGAACCGTTGTTAAATTACTCCACTGCTATGGAGAGGATATAAACTCCAGCAGGCTTCAGAAATGAAGCTCGGATCTTCAGGATCCAAGTTTTGCTTCTGCAACCTGCTGCAGAGGTTCCCTTCTGTGCCCGGCATGGAGCTGCCTGCCCTTCTTCAGGAGGCAGGTCTTTCGCTCCAGCTGCTTAACGGCCTGTTTGGTTGCTTAATTGCCAAAACAGGTGGGATTATGTTTGTTGAGTGAGGCAGTCATAAGGGTGCCTCACTTAACAACCACTTTGCCCAACAATCAAGATTCCAGTTCCAATTGTGGTTGTAAGTTGAGGGCTTCATATATTGGTTGTTATCTACCCTGAATGATGTGTATATTTTTGGAAGAATGGGTTTTAAACTTTTAATTCATGAACTAATTAAATAGTCTACTAGAGAGTCTATAAGAGAGAAGGTAAAAGGAAAGCTACTATATTTGACTAAGTATTAGTGTGCATGATAGTACTACTGTTTTTTTAAAGGCATACTCAAAATTCCCCCAAAGGCAAAACAAAGAGAAAATTATGGAGTATAAAAGATAAATGCAAAGTAGATAGCCAAACTGCTAGGCAAAGTTGATGCAATTACTCAGATTAACCAAGACAATGTAATATGTTAGACATAACCAGAAATTGAGTTAGATATCCACTTCCTGTTTCTTAGACAGATCCATATTTTTTCTGATCTGAGAAGTGACTAGCTTATGCATTGCACTAAGCCACTGTTGGCATGAGTTTGGCTCGTTCATATAAGAATCTAGCTTTTGTGCAAACTAAAGTTGCATTAGCAGCCTAGATCCTTATGTGTTAGATATATCTTACTATTGTTTTGTTGTTGTTTATGTGATATATGAGCTCAGCCCTTGGAAGCAGATGACACATTAGAGATTCAGGAGTTACAAAAAACAAATTAACCTGAACAATGGCTTGCCATAGTTTTGCATAGGAACAACAGGCTTCAGCTGAACCCTAGCAAAACCCTGGCTAATAGAAAAGATCAAGAATCAGAAGTTCCAACCCATGTGTGTAGATGTTTTTTTCAAGAATGAATGGTTATTGAACAAATGTGGATTGAATACAAAAATGAATGATGTATTAAAGAATAATTAGTGGTTCTAGACAAAGGGAATTCCATGGATGGAATTAATGAAAGATGCTGACAAAAGAAGAGATGGTAAGTTTTAACATAGACAATGAATAAAGGGGCATACGAATAAAGAGGAAGTAAGGATAAATTAAAAGGATGCTGTGGCTCAGTGGCTTGTTGATCAGGAAGGTCAGCAAGTCGGCGGTTCAAATCCCTAAAGCTGCGTAATGGAGTGAGCTCTTGTTTCTTGTCCCAGCTTCTGCCAACTTAGCAGTTCAAAAGCACGTAAAAATGCAAGTAGAAAAATAGGAACCACCTTTGGTGGGAAGATAACAGTGTTCTGTGCGCCTACGGTGTTTAGTCATGCCGGTCANGCTGTTCCACTGATTAATTGTTCTAACTGTCAGGAAATTTCTCCTCAGTTCTAAGTTGCTTCTCTCCTTGATTAGTTTCCACCCATTGCTTATGGGTGGAAATTAATACTTATGACTGGTCTTCATACTTATACCAGCATCTCGATGGTCATGTGATCAAAATTCAGGCACTTTGCAACCAGCATGTATTTATGATGGTTGCAGCATCTCGGTCATTGGATTGCCACTGGCGACCTTCCCAGCTAGCTTCCAACAAGCAACATCAATGGAGGAAGCCAGAATTGCTAACAGTCACGTGTTTCATTTAATGACAATAGTGATTCACTTAACACTGCAGCAAAAAGATAGTAAAATCAGGAGCAATTCACATAACCACGAAGTTTAGTAATGGAAATTCTCATCCCAATTATGGTCATAAGTCAAGGAATGCTTACAATAAAGGTGGGGCATAAACAAAGTTGCAAAATGATTTCCTCAAACTGTCTTTAACATTTGTTTCCCAGTTGTACTTGAAAATCTCTTTTGGATCTAACACTTCAGAAACTGATTCAGAAATATTTCAGTGGTAGTATCTGTTATGTTAGACAAACACAATCGAGTATTTTCAAGCATAAGATATTTATAAAGAAGGCCCAGCATTCCATTGGCCTTTTTTGTTTGTCTTGCTGGATTATTCTCTAACTTAAAGTAAACATTCAAGGTGTCAGCACCTAATAACCTTGCCTGATCTTGAAAACATTATAAAGGATTTGACCTAGTTATGGGTAAGTCCTTGACCTATGAGCACAATTGGGACTGGAAATGTCGTCATGAAATCTTTGCAACTATACGTTGAGACATCCTTCTGACTTGACCAATTTTGTTTTATAGATTTTTGCAGCAACAGTAAAGCGGATCACTGTGGTCATTAAATAAATCACACAGTTATTAACCAAACAACAAGGTCATTAAATGAACCCATTGTTTCGAATGGGTGGGGATTTTTTTTTTACTGGAGACCAACAAAACCCTGGAAACCAGCAAAAAATGTTGCAAATTGCAGTCACATGAGGGATGTTGCAACCAGTGATAAAAAGTGAGCCAGTTGCCAACCACCCAAAATGTGGCCAAGGTGGGGGCAAGTGATGACATTTTGCGATGTCCAGAACTGTTTTACAAGTCCTAAAGCACTTGTTTCAAGGCTATTTCACTTGTAAGTCAAGAACTATGTCTTTGACAGAGGATCATTAGGAAATTGTGGGGCTGGAAAATTATAAACCATTTTCATATTCTTGCCAAAAAAGCTACACAGATATATTAACATGGTCACCAGGAGTTGACTCAAAGGACATTTCACTTTTACTACAAAAGAAAACTTTAATATAAGCTGTACAGATACCGGTATTAGTGGAGGTGTAGCAGTGTGCATAAATACTATGTGTTACATGATAAACTAATGACTTTTTATTAATGGTTTTGATTTTTGATTGTTATTACACTTGGAGTGTGTGCATTTTAATATTGTTTCTATGATGATTCTGGTTTGATCAGTGGTGTCTGATAGCTCAGCCACAACAGCAACATCAGATACATTTAACTCAGACTTTTAGTTGTTCAAATAGATGTCTGAATCAAAGGTGGTATTCAGCAGGTTCTGACCAGTTCTGAAGAACCGGTAGCGGAAATTTTGAATTGTTTGGAGAACCAGTAAATACCACCTCTGACTGGCCCCGCCCCATTTTTCTCTGCTCCTGGGGCCCAGTTAATCGAGAGGAAATGGGGATTTTACAGTAACCTTTACTTGGAGTAGGAAGGATCCTTCCCCTGCCATGTCCACCAAGCCACGTCCTCCACACCCATCAAGCAACACCCATAGAACCGGTAGTAAAANTAAATTGCAGTATAAAGAGTTATGGGAAAGTACTATAAATGCCATTGGTGTAAAGTAGCTATATTTTCTTTTTTTATTACTTTACTTTTTTTCCTACTACTTTTACTCATTTTCTGTATTTTCAGAATTCTGCTTTTTCTGAAAGAGAATAATATGAAGGGCATGTCTATATTGTAACTGAAGATCAAATCATATATAAGAAAAATGCATGTTCATTTCTAATTCTTAACCGTTTTTTTTCTGATTTGCATATACTGTAGGAACAGCCTGAAAAAGTTCTGATTACTGAAGTGCAAAAAGAACCTACATTAACAGTGCCTATAACTGAAACATCTAGGACTAGTAGCCAACTACTTGAAGTAGTGTTATCTATAGATCAAGTACCAGAAGCTTCTGAGCCAACTCCAAAAGCTTCAGCGCCACAAATTGAGACTCAGTCTCCCTCTTCATCTTTCCAAACTCTTCAACCTTTGCCGTCTCAGAAAAAAATTGATTTTCCAAGGGCTTTGATCAGATCAGTGGAAAGCATTGTGCGGGCTCAAGAATCAGCACCTCAAGAAGTGGTACAACAGACTGCTCCACCAGCTCAAGTTCCTGAGGAACCTGTTGAGAATGAGCCAATGCCAACAGTTTATCTAGATCCTTTTGAGATTTCTCTTGAATACGTAGAGAGGCATAACATCCTACAGATATTTCAGGTGACTTCCTCTCTTCTTGCCCTTTCCGACTCTTTAACTTGAATATGAATATTGCAGTTGTTGAGTTGAATCATCTTACCCATCCTTATGTAGGCAAGTATTTCTGAGTTCAGGACCCAGCAGTTTAGGTTTTCTCTGGAGATTAAGGTTACTTCATCCGAGTTTCAAGAATATAGCATTCCTTATTTGTCCCTGATTACTTAACTGTCCTGTGTATTTAATTCAATTCAAAATAACAATATATTAACCACTTCAGAGGTGAAATCCAGCAGGTTTTGACAGGTTCTGGAGAACTTGTAGCGGAAATTTTGAGTAGTTCGGAGAACCGGCAAATGCCACCTCTGGCTGGCCCCAGAGTGGGGTGGAAATGGAGGTTTTACAGTATTCTTCCCCTGCCACGCCCACCAAGCCATGCCCATCAAGCCACACCCACAGAACAG